CGGAGTCGGAGGAGATGGCGCCTGCGAGGTAGGCAATGCGAACACACAGACAGACAGACAGACACACAGACAGACACACAGACAGACAGACAAACAGACAGACAGACAGACTGACACACGACAGACAGACAGACACGCAGACAGAGACAGGCTCCTCGCTCCTGCCCCCCGGTGTGTAGTTGGGCCCGCCGGTGCCAGCGGTCGGTGCTCTGTTTTCGTCGTCCGTGTGATTTGTATGCCGATGCATGACCGGTTTTCAGCGACGCGGCGGGGTCCTATGGAGGGGGTGGAGGGAAAGGGAGAGAGAGAGGGGGGGAGGGAGGGAGGGAGGAAGAGAGAGAGGAGGGGGGACTGCACTGCACCGCTCGCAGGTACTGCCTGCAATTGATGGCCGCCCCGTTGCGTGTCCCATTCTATCGGCACGTGGTTCGTGCCGTTGTCTGCCCCTTCCCCCACAGTGGGCCTGAAGACCGGTGGAGGCGACCAAACTCTAGACGCGTTTTGAGCTCCAGAGTCGCTAAATGGGACTCGAACCGAACGTGTGACCCCACCAATGGATTGCTCTCCGCACGAGGAATCCATTGGTGGGGTCACACGTTCGGTTCGAGTCCTGCTCAGCGACTCTGGAGTTTTGGCCGCCTCCGCCGGTCTTCTGGCCCACTGTGTGCCGCCGCCGCGCGGAGAGGGGTTTTGGAGGGGGCTGTACCAATATGCAGTTTGGGGCGTGAGGAGAGTTTAGTGCGCTGTTCCGGTGTTGCCCGCGCGCCGCCCCGTGCACACCGTGCTCGCCGTGCTCACCGTGTCGGCCGCTGGTTCGCCGCCTCACCGCCGAGGCGGCCAAGGCTCCTCGCCAATCTCACCTGCAAACAGAGAGTCACTGTCAGCGTCGTTGGTTGGTACACTGCGAGTGTGGGCACAGCACTGGAAAGGTCAGAGAAAGTGCGAAAAAGGTTTGGTCTTCCAGACTATTGATCTTGGAAATTTTCAGAGAACTTGTTGGGGAATGTCATCGAGGATGGGATCCTTCCTCCGTCCAAAACGACAGATTATTTTACAGTGATGGGAGGATTGGTTCCTTTGTTTTGAGCAAATCCGGGACGTTGTCTCTCGCTTTCTCTTTAGAGCCGAGTGTACATCTGCGTTGCGCGCGCGCCGCGCGCTGGCGAAAATTGATCCCGAATTGTTTTTAATAAATGTACAAAGTTGGCTGTGCTTGTGGGGGCGACCGGGCCGGCCCCGCCTTGGGCTCCGCCGCCGAGGCCGCGGGCCTTGCCGGCCCTTGGGAACCTGCAGCACCCTTTTGGGATGGCCCGGCGGGGCGGAGCGGGCGGGGTGGGGCGGGGCGGGGTGGGGCGGCGGGGCGGGGCGGGGGGGCGGGGTCGGCCTGGACCCCCCAAAGCACTTCCTTTCAATCTGCCTAATACTTGTTCGCTTTTCCTTGGGGAAGGGTGGTCCGTCGCCCCTTCTTTACGGGTCGCCCCCCCCCCCCCCCCCCCCAGCCCCCCCCCCCAGCCCCCTCCCTTCTCCTCCCTTTCTTTTTCATCCTAGCACTCCGCTAGGCCCACCGCGTTCGGTGCGTAGCCAGCCTGCGTAGCAGCTTGGCGTTATAATCCCCATTTGCATGCCTTTGTCCTCACCCCTTCCACTGCCCCCTCCCCCCCCTGGCTCAAGGCTGGGTGTTATTGTCCTACTTTTTGCGTTGACCCGCTGACCTCTGCGGGGGATGGTCCAAAGTAAGATTGGAAGCAGGGGCCCTCTGTTCGCCGAGCGGCCCCAGAGGGAGCGGCCTCGCCGGCGCTGCTGCCTCCAGAGCCTCCAGCAGCCTTCAGTGGGCCAGAAGACCGGTGGAGGCGGACACAATCCCGGACGCGTTTTGAGCTCCGGAGTCGCTAAGCAGCACCCGAACCGAACGTGTGACCCCACCAATGGATTCCTCGTTCGGAGAGCAATCCATTGGTGGGGTCACACGTTCAGTTCGAGTCCCATTTAAAAACGCGTCTGGGATTTTGACCACGTCCGCGCCGCTCTTCTGGCCCACTGTGGAGCAGACTCCAGCAGCCTACAGTGGCCAGCTGACTCCATCCGCCTCCAGCTGACTGCAGCAGACTCCAGCACACCCCAGCTGACTCCAGCAGCCTTCTGCAGCCTCTGGAGCTGGAGGCCCGGAAGGCCGTGGAGCTGTGGCAGGCAGGACGGGCATGGCGGGTGCGGCCCGCTCCCCTCCTCACCCACTATCGACCAATGTAACCTTGCCCCGAACCTGGCACAACCTCCCCCGCAATCTCTCTCTCTCTCTCTCGCTTTCTCTCTTGCTCTCTCCCGCTCTCCCTCTCTCTCGCTCGCCTCTCCCTTCCCGCCGCCCCACAGCCTTCTGCTCCCAGGCCAGCCAGCCCAGGGTCAATCGTTGGGACCCCCAAATTCATTGCACCCTGAGTGCCGCGCCCTCCTCCGCCCCCCCCCGCCCCCGGCCCCCCCGGAACCCCCCCCCCCCGGACCGCCCCCCCCGGACCCCGCCCCCCCGGGACCCCCCCCCCCAACCGGGGGGCCCCCGGGAAAAAACCCTTTGGGCCCCGGCCCCTAAAAACCCAAAAAGGGGGGTTTTCCCAGCCCAAAGGGGCGGGCCCCGTGGCCCCCAAAACCCGGGCCGGGGAAATTTTTCCCCTTTTTATTTTTTTTTTCCAAAAAAAATCCCTTTTTCCCTTTCCCAGGCCGTCCCTCTGGCGAGGCTCTGGCGAGCCTCCGGCTGCTTCATGAAGAGCGACGCGGCGATGAGTGATGGGCGCTGTCGTGCGTTTTTGCGATTGGGCCCGCGTCTCGGCACGGAGTAACCTAAAAAAGCCCCAAAAAAAAACGGGGGAAAAAAAAAAATTTTTGGGAGGGGGTGCGTTTTGGATGGTCGGTCCACACCAGGCCTGACACGCCGCGTCACGTCTCATCCACGGCTTGGCATCTGCTCATCTTCTCTCTCTCTCTCTCTCTCTCTCTCTCTCTCTCTCTCTCTCTCTCTCTCTCTCTCTCTCTCTCCCTCTCCCCCCTCTCCCCCCAGCTGTCCTTTTCGCCCTGTCTGCTCTCCCCGTGACAGCCGTTCCCGCGCTTTTCTGCGCGCGGTATTGCTCGCACACCGATCCCCTGATCCCATCCCCCCCCCCCCCTCCCTCTCTCGCTTGCTATCTCAATCCTCTCCCCCGCGATCCCCCCCACCCCTGACCTCCCCCCCCGCCCGCCCCTCTCCCTCTGATCCTCCCCCTCCTGATCCTCTCCCTCTGATCCCTTCCCGTCCCACCCGATCCTCCCTCTGATCCTCTCATTGTCGCTGATCCCTCTCCCTCTGATCCTCCTGATCCTCTCTGCCTCTGATCCTCTCCCTCTGATCCTCTCCCTCTGACCCTCTCCCCCTCTGACCTTCTCCTCTGATCCTCTCACCCTGATCTTCCCCCTCTGATCCTCTCCTCTTGTGATCCTCTCCCTCTGATCCTCCCCCTCCGATCCTCTCCCTTTCACCTCCGCCTTACCTCCCCCCTCGCACATACAATATCTTCCCCGCGCTCTCCACTTGTGAAAGCCGATTCCATACATATTCTGGGGGGGGGGGGGGGGGGTTGGGGGAAAAAGGGGGGTTGGGGGGGGGGGGGGAAAAAGGGGGGTTTAAATTTGGGGGGCGGCGCCCCAATTTAAAGCGGCGGGGTGAAGTGATGGAGATCCGTGGTCTGGTCATCACGCGTCTCGCGCTTTGCACCCTTTCGTCCGTCTCTGCGGCCTTGGCGCCCCACAGTGTGCCGGAAGACCGGTGGAAGCGGCCAAAATTTTAGACGCGTTTTGAGCTCCAGTGTCGCTAAATGGGACTCGAACCGAACGTGTGACCCCACGAAAGGATTTTCCCCGTTTGGAGAGCTCCATTGGTGGGGCCCCACGTTCGGTTCGAGTCCCATTTAGCGACTCGGGGGCTCA